GCTAAGAAGCCCCAAATTTAGTTGAAGAACTATTGGCAACTGATAACAACTATGAGGAAGAGGGTTGGTTTTCTTGAAGCATGGGATACTAGGCAGGTTAACCAGGCTCCAGTGGATGGATACACACTGTAGGACTTTAGGGACACAAACTTGATTCAGTATGCTTTAATATATATGATAGAGTACATGAAATCCAGTGGAGGGGGCCTATAAGAGGAGGACACACAGTGAAAGGAGTTTAAATAAAAATAAAATATATCATAGGAAAGTCACAATAATTTAATAAATTGATGAATGAAAATAATTATAATGTAAAACTGAAAACAGGTGAGAAGAGTATATATTATGGACTCAGAGGTGGCAGAGCCGATCTCAGTTATGGAAATATGATGATTTTGATAATATCTCTGGTAACACTTCTGTAACACGAAAGGCATGTCTTAAGAGAATTAAGGAGAGAAGGAGGGTAAACATGTAAATTGTCTTAATGGAATAAGAGATGACAACATTATGAATGCCTCAAAAGTGTGTCCTTTTGCAGAAACACTGAAAATAGTAAATATGTATCTCTGTATGACATTTTCAAATTCTATATTTTTTGTCACTTTAAATTTTAGTTCCACTGTGAAATAAAGCACTACTAGTAAAAGGAAATCACTGATATATTTGAATATCTAGTATCTCCATGATAACCTCCATAATGATTCATGTTATTTGCTCTACACAAAAACATCATGTAGCAACTCTGCTCGTTACATTTTACTTCAGAGAATGAAAATGTCCTCTGAAAAGTCATGATGTTTGAGCCTTGTCATGGATGTAGCTTGTAGATAAATGAAAGTATATTTGATCTCAGGATATATTACCCATAGGTTGTTATTTTTATATCATCTCCTCAAAAAATCAGAAGGCCTCAGTAGAAGAAAGCCAACAAGAGTTTGCAAATTTCAGGTTCAATGAATGTCTATCCTATGGAAAGAAATTTTAGAATATGAGATGGTTGCCTGCTCTACAGCACCTCATGTGACTATATACTCCTCTCCTATCTTTGCAGATTTTCTAAGGCGGTCTGGATGAATGCACACTCTGTGCAGTTGAGAATCTGATTCAGTAATCCGTAGTGCATAGCATGAAGATAAAAACTCAGCATCACTTTTCTCCAGATGGGTCTCTGCATAAGACTTTCATCTCTTCTGGCATCAAACACTAAAACCTCCAGTAATCACAATGCAGATGTTCAGCAAGACAATTTTAGCTGTAGCTTTATGCATAGAGTGTCATAAAATATAGCTCAATTTTTATGGAAAAGTTGGGAAGAAACATATTGAGATGTCTGTCTATTTACATTTTAATGGGATATGAGTCCAGTGCTATATTTTTTATTACATGGAACTAGTTTTTTAGCAAAGTATTGTGAATCCTGCTGACATTTTTGCCTGAGTGGCTCTCAATCACTTAAATATAACATTTGTGCTTACATAATCATCTAACATATTTAATTTTGTTCTGAAGCTCAAAAGTTAGCTCTGAGAACATGAGAATAACTTTTAAATAAGAGTTTTATAAAAGGTATGAAAAATGACTGATTAAAACAGAGAATTCTTTAAAGAGTTTGTAAATAGCATACTGATAATAACCAAAGCATATTTCTTGCAACATGATCTTTGAATATGGATATATTTTCATAAAACTGAGGTCTCAATTTATTTTAAATGTGTTCCACTCAGGCTAAAACTTCAGGTTTTTTTTTTCTTTAAAGTGATATAAGCCTGTGTTTTTCTTTCATCCATTCCTGATCCACTTTTCTACCTAAAAACTTTGGATTTTAAATATAATGGCTCCAATATGCGTTTGTATAACTTTCCCAACATGGTTGAAGCCACAGTGTATCTGTGGCCATTCTTTATCACTTTCTCCTCATACTTCCTAGGGAACCTCACAATCAAAATCCTCATACTTTTCCCACATCATGTGTATTAGTTACATACTTTCTCAGATTTTAAGTGAGATGGTGTAGTGGATTGAATGAGAATGAGCCCCAGAGGCTCACATATTTAAATACTTGGTTCCCAGTCAGTCATGCTATTTGGAGTGGTTAAAGAACCTCTAGGTGTTAGAGGCCTTGGTGGTTGAAACACCTCACTGAGGTTGGGCTTTGAGGGTTAATAGCCTCACCCCTCTTCTAGTTTATTCTGTCTACTACTGGTAGGTGGATGGAAATATAATCTCTTGGCTTTCTGTTCCTACTTCCATGCCTCTTCCTCCAAAATGGGCTCTTCACCCTTTAGAAAAATATGCCAACCAAACTCTTCCTTCTATGCCTTGTTTTTGTTTTTGTCACATTATTTATTACAGCAGCAGAGAAATAACTAATATAGAAATTTGTACCAAGAAGTGGGGTTGTTCCTGTGAAGAATTTGACCATGCTGGTTTTGGAGAATTGTGAGAGTCTTTGTAACTTTGAACTAGAAAAATAGTGGCACACCATAAAGAGAGCTTAACTGGTTACTCAAGTAGACAGTAATACTGAGAACAATGCAAACTGTAGGGGATTGACTCATAAGGCTTTAGAGGAGAGCATGGTCTCTCTTAGCCACCATTCTACGGACAATTTCTGAGATTTTTTGGCAAAGGATCTCGCTGTCTTCTGGCCCTGTCATAAGAACTTTTCTGAGGCTAAATTTAAAAAATCAAGCTAATTTACTTAGCAGGGGAAATTTCAAGACAGCATATTGTTGAATTTCTGTCATAATTAAAACTGATCTTTCTAATAGAGATTTTCAATGAAGAAAAATGTGGGGCAGAAATACAAAATGTAAAGTTTAGAGAGATTAAAAAATTAGGAAGCTTAATGTTAAAGCCAATGCATGCACTGAAAGATAGGCTGAAACTGTTAAGCTAAGCAACATTAAGGAGAATCTGTTGCTCTGTACTGGAACTATAGGAAGGAAGTCCTGAGGGTAAGAACCCAGGCAGAAAGCTTACAACTATAGAAAAGAGTAAATGTAATGTTTTTCTTGATTACAGAAAGCACTTTCTTCTTTCTTTTTTAAGACAGTCTCCCTGTGTCTCCAGCTGGCCTGGAACTCACTATGTAGACCAAAATAGCCTGGTTCTCACAGAAATCCTCCTTCCTCTGCCTCCCTAATGTTGGGATTAATGGATTAAAGACATGTGTCACCACATTAAGTGGAAAGCACTTGGTTCAACAAACAAAAGGGAATACTTATGTTGTCATTGGAGGCAAAACTTCATCCTCCCCAACTGGTGGTTGAATTTGGCACTATTGTTTATGTGCCACTAGCTTTCGAGGCATGAAAAATGAAAAACTGAGGGAGGTGGTTGTGGATACTTCCTCTGTGGTTTCAGAGAGCTTCTGAGGCCAGGCAATCTTCTGAGGCAGGGAAGTCACTGATGGCTCCAAGAGGCCATTCCATCAATCTATGAAAGTGAAGCCTGAGTTGTGGTGGAGACTCCAAAATGTTGGAAATTCCAGAGCTGCAAGGCTTCTACCAAGTAGAACTCACACAGGGAGATAACCAGTCCAAGAACAAGATGTATGTTGAAAGCAGCAAAAGAGGTTAGGTGGAGTCATTTAAGATCTACGAAACCCGGAGCTATAGGATTGGGAGTTTGTCCTGCTGGGTTTAGGTCTTTCTTGCTTTGGTTCAATATTTCTTCTCTGTTTTTGGATGGTAATGTATATTCTGATATACTGTATTCTGTAACTATGTAATTTGCTCTTTTACTTTACTCTGGGCCATATTTACGAGATTTTCTTGAGTCTCAGAAGTCACTTTGGTCTTTAAACACTTTTGAGATTGTTAAAGACTACACAGACTTTTGAAGTTGGACTAAAGGCATTTTGTATGATAAAATGGTCATGAATCAATTAGGTTAGGGAGTGGACTTAGTGGTTTGAAAGAGAATTGTCCATTTTAGATTCTGATATTTGAATATTTCTTCTCCAGTTATTAATGCTGTTTGGGGGAGTTTATGGAGTTAAGTTTTGGAGTCTTGCTGGAGGTAGTATTTTACTCAGGCCAGGCTTTGAGTTTATAGCCTTACCCCACTTTCAAGTCACTTTCTGTGTTCCCTGTGTGTGGAAGGAGATGTGATCTCTGCAGATTCCTACTGCTCCTGCCATGGTTCTACCATCCGTATGGTCTCTGCCTGTGGAACCATAGGCAAAAACAAATTGTTCCTTCTATAAATTTATTTTGATTATATCATATTAACAGCAATGGAAAGGCAACTAACGCATGTATAGTGAAAGAAATGCAAATATATTTAATTTTTTAAGTTTCTCTTTTATGTGTGTGTGTGTGTGTGTGTGTGTGTGTCTGTTTGTCTGTTTGTGTAGCAGAGGTAAGCATCTAACAGAAGATTAAAAGGGCATTAGATCCCCTGGAACTGGTTGTGAGTCATGTGATGTGGGTGCTCTGAACCAAGCCTAGGTCCTATGCAAGAGTACAAATGCTCATAAGTCCTCACATTTATATTAAAAATGAGCTTTTTAAAGCAATTGACTTTGGATAATATTGATGAATTGAAGTATATTAACTTTACTCTTCCTGTAATAAGGCTTTATAAGCATTTTATTGATAAGGAGCTTCTCTTGATGAGGACCTTAACACTTTGGAGCTTCTTGCTAATGTAAATTTCCATCTGGTACCTGTATCTTTGGCATCTGTGTGAAACTTTTGCGAATAATCAGTGTGGAGTGGTTGAAGTCAGTATTATCTGAATATATGTATTGGCTAGACATTGCTGTTTCTTTTATTGTATTTAAGCCAATTTGCTTAGCTTCAATCAGTCAATGGCTATATTTTTATCATATCACACAATATTCCTCTAATGGTATATTTGTATCTTACTTACATGTCATTGTTTTGTATATTTTGGCCTTTTCTGAAATGTTAAATATTTATCCATAAAAATTTCAAGTATTTCCTCACAACTTTTTTTTTCAAAACCAACTGATACAATATAGAACAGTTATACTCACTTCAGCAGCATGTACACTAAAATTGGAGTGACACAGAGAAGTTTAGTATGTCCCCATGCAAGGATGACATGCAAATTCATGAAGTGTTCCATATTTTTCAGTAAAAAAAATTTAACAGAAAATATATAACAGTCGGTGCTTTTGTTTTATTGTTTTTTTCTTGATATTGTTTCAATGAATGTGAATCACAGTGTGTGGGGTGTGTGTGTGTGTGTGTGTGTGTGTGTGTGTGTGTGTGTGTGTGTGTGTGTGTGTGTGTGTGTGTGTGTGTGTGTGTGTGTGTGTAAGGCGAAGTTTGAGAGTTTGACATCAGGCAACTTTCTCAGTCATTCTTTTAAAAAATAAAATGACAGGGCTGGAGCGATTGCTCAGCAGTTAAGATCATGAACTGCTCTTAGGGAGGACTCAGGTTTGGCTCCCAGCACCCACATGATGGCCAGCAACCATTGGAAACTCCAGGTCCAGGGGATCTGACACTCTCCCCTCACCTCTGCAGGTACTGTGCGACACAGGTGCACTTACATACACATGCAGGCAATATATACATAGACATAAAATAAAAATGGCAAATAAAATATTTTAAAAATAAAATTGCATTATTCTAATTAATTCACAAATTGAACTATCTCACAATTGATTTAAGGAACCCACTCAGACACTTGGTCAATCCCAAACTCTATATATCTTGGTGTCCAAATTAGTTTCTTAGGTAATAGCTCTCATTGAAGCTAGAGCTCACAGATTTTGCTAGACAGTTTCACAAGAGAGCCCTCAGCAATTCTCCTTCCCTGCTTCCTCAACACTGGGGTTACAAGTACATGTTGGCTTGCCCAACTTCTTTTTTTTTTTTTTTTTTAATTGGTTGCTGTGAATTGAAATCGGGTCTTCAGCATTGCTGGGCAAGCAGGTTACTGACTGAGACATCTTCCCAATCCCAAGATGTTTATTTCTTAAGATTTCTATTTTGAAATAATTTTGGTTTTTCACATGGGTTGTAATGTACTATGCAGACTCTCCACATGATTCCATTGGGATTTCTGCAATGTATAACCATGGTACTTTTCTTAAAAACTAACGAATTCATGCTGGTCAAAAACTTTCAACTAGTAGTTTTAAATGTTAGCAGTTTTTAATAGTAATCATCAAGATTTTGTAGAGGAAAAAAATAATGCATCTACAGTTGGTGGGTATAGAATTCAGAATATTCATTATGAAAAAGCATATGGATGTTTCTCAGTTAAAAATAGAAATAACATACTACACTCCAATCACATTCTTGAGTATACACACAAAGGAATTGAATTGCTATTTGAAACACATCTTTATCGGCATGTTTTATTGTATTTCTATTCAAAATATCTAAGATATAGAATTAACATGTATCCATGAAATGACAAAAGATAAGGAGAATGTGACATCTCTAATATTCAGCTACTATATATATAATCCTGTCATGTGTGACTAAATGGAGGGAACTGCATAAAATAACACAGAAGCAGAAAGACAAATACTACATGACCTTGCTTATTCATGGAATGGAAAACACTTCACTGAACAGAAGTGGATACAATATTAGTGACCACAGAAGTCAACAGGTGAGTAGAAGTTGGCCAAAGGTACAGAGAACTAGGGAGGGAAAGTAAACTCTGGTATTCCATTTCACAAGGATGATCCTAGCCAATAATAGAGCAGTTAATTTCAAAATTACCCAAAGAGAGGATTTTAAATATTTCACTACAAAAACTCAATGCTTGATGGTTGAGCATATAGACGTACTGACCATACTGATTTTACCATTGCACAAGCTACACATGCATTAAAACTTCAAATTTTATCTTCATGTTTCTCCTTTTTTATATCTTTTCTTCTGATTTGGGGATCAAGTCAAGGATAATGCGTGTTCTAGGCAAAGACTCAATAAGTTACAATGCTTTCTTATGTAAGAATTATAAAAAAGTTTTGTAGAGTAACTCTCCATGTAGACAAAGCTGAAGTTTTCTCATGATATCATTGAAGATAAGGATTTGGAGAGAAGTGGCTTCAGTCTTTTATATGAGGTACATGATTTGTCTCTGATTTAGAAAGTTTGATGGTTCCCTTACATGTCTTTTACTTATAACCATCATTTTTAATGTCTCCATGGTTGACAATTTAGAAAAGCTTATTCTTTTAAATTTTCACTTCAAATTTTCTCAGAAAAAAATTATCTGTACTGATGTAATAAAATGCTAATCTAGGGATTTTTGGATGTATATAACTTCAAGCTACTTCAAATTAAAGCTAGCTGTCACTATGATTTTGTCCTTTCCTCTCCTGTAGCACATTAGATGGCTTTCCCTTTTTCCATTTGCATAACTAATGTCTGATCCATTATAATTAAAATTGTTCTTTTCTACAGGTGACATAAGGTTTTTGATTTGTCAGAAGTGGTTTTTTCATGATTTTAGGAGGCAAATTTTAAATTTATATTTCTAAAAATTTCTGCTCACACAGAAATGCATTCAGTAAGCTAATGCTTATATATGTTTTTAAATTTTATTTATTGTTTATTTATTTATTTATTTATTTATTTATTTGTTTGTTTATTGAGGGAAGTGTGTCATAGTGTGCATATGGAGAGCATAGAACAACTTCTGATAGTCTCTATTTCCCATTTTGTGGATCAAACACAAATTCTCAGAGTTGGCAGCAAGCACCTTTACGTGCTGCGCCACCCCACCAGTCCTACTTTTTAGCTTTTCCTATTAATTTCAGTAAATAATTTTCATTCTCTTGGCTTCCTGTTTTGAAAATAATATGAGCTATGAAAAATTAAACTTTTAATTCTTACTTTTTATTCTTATTTTTTGACTTGTACTTATGCTATTGTGTGTGTGTGTGTGTGTGTGTGTGTGCTGATTAAAATTCCAGGTTATTTTTTTAACAAAAATTTAAAGTATTGCTCTTAGCTCTCAGACTTCCCAGAGTCACAGTGATGTTATCGCATTCAGGACCCAGCATATATCAAGTCTTGGCAGAATGAGTCAATCCTGGCAATCTTGGTTCTCACACCAACCTGAGTGTCAGGGATCCTCCCCTGCCTCAGACACGGGATTTGGAGCTTGATCCCTGAGACCTCCCTGCATGCTGCCAAATAAGTTGTGTTCGCCTCAGATCTACTAGCTCCCACCCTAATCTGCCAGTCAAACTGCTCAGGTAGCAGCTCCATACTAACCTGATAATCAAGGACCCTCTGCAGTCAACCTTGAAATCACAACTTAAATTTTGTAAATTTCTCACTGCTCCAGGGCTTATATTTTACTCTGGTTAGGTAATCAGAACTTCTTGGAGGCTGCCTCCATCCCTGACTTGGTCTTAGACTGCCTAGACCTCATTAGTGTTGTAAGTTAGACATGTCACACGGATCTCAGTCTGTTACTCTGGAACAAGCTATATTCGTGCTGCTCCAGAGCTCACATCTAATCTGAAAAGCTAGGTGGACCCTTCCAAGTGTTCCCCATACTTGCCTTGGGCCTCGAACCCCTCCTGTTCATCCTACCTGAGCTCTCTGAACTGGCCTGGTAAGTTAGATACTGTCCAATGGGTCTTGATTCCCTGCTCCAGTACCAGCTCCATTCCCACTGCTGCAGGGCTCATCTCTTTTGAGCTAGTTAGTCCCTCCTCACATGGTCTCCCTATCCCCTATCCCCGATCCCCTATCCCCTATCCCCTATCCCTTATCCCCCATCCCTATCTAGGTGGGCCTAAAACCTTCCTGTTCCCTCCACTTAAGACCTCTGGACTGTCCTAGTAAGTAAGAAAAGGCCATTGAATATTAATCCTCTTGTTCCAAGACAAGCTACATTCTCCCTGCCCCAGGGCTCAGTCTACTCTGTTTAACTATGTATATCCTCACCACACCATCCCATCTGATCTTGGGTCTGGATCCTCCCACTCTTCTACCAGAGAATTCTAAACTAGTCTGTCAGAACTTGGCCACTGAATTCCCATAGTCTAGAATCAAGCCAAGACCCCTTTGCACTTCTGGAGAACTCTTGAAAAGCCAGTCTAGAGCTATCCTGTTCCATTAATAAAAAATTAAATGGGAGAACCTGAAGCACAGATGAACTACCTATTTATACTGGATCAGAAAGCAACAAAACTACATCAAAATATAAACAGAACCAAACTTCAACTAAACAAAGGCAGGCTAGAATTTCACAGCAGACATACAACCAACAAGAACAACAAAATCCATAAGCCAGAGCCGCAAGCAAAAACACAAAAATCCAAGATAATATGTCTGCTCCAATTGTAAAATTGTGTTATACGAGAAGAACTATCTATTGGAACCCCAGAACACAGAATTTAAAGAATAATCATAAACACGATCAGAGAATTCAAACACTTTGAGGAACACACAAACAACTCAAAAAACTCAAAGAGGAAAGAGAGAAACTTAATGAGCTAAAGAAAACACAAATACATAGATAAAAGAAATAGTAAAGACAATTCAGGACTTGAACAGTGAATTCAGAAAAGAGAAAGGAATACTGAGCAACACTCAAGCAGAAGTGAAGATGGAATTGAAACATTCAATGAGTCAATTTGCTTTTCTAGTATTTTTATTTTGCATGTAGGAGTATATTGCCTGCATGTATGTAAGTGTGCCCATATTATGCAATGCCGGCTTAAGTCACAGAGAGTGTTGAATCCCCTGGAACTTGAGTTACAGATATTTTTTAGCCGCCATGTGTGTGCTGGGAACCTATCTGTTGATACATCTCTCAGCAGCTTCTCTCCAATAAGTCATTCGGAAACAAGAAAAAGACTCAACTCTCATTGGTGAAGCTTTCTCACGCAGCGGTGGTGACTAACACAGAGAGCCACACCTGGCCTGAATGTAGAGAGTAAGAAACTGCAGAATGCATGTTCCTAAATAAGCCTCTTTTATAAAGCTCTGCCACCCAGGGCTCTGGGAACATTGCTGAAGAAAGGGAAGAAAGACTGTAAGAGCCAGGGGTGTTGGATGACCAAAAAGGAAGTTTTCTTGACAGCTGGGAACTTGCTCATATGAACTTATAGCAATTATGACAGCATGCACACGAGTCATGCAAAA